GACACCGCCCGGCCCAACTGGGACACCTCCCAGCCACCGGCGGACGGGAACAGATCTTCGTTCCTACTGACACCCGGGACACCCGGGACACCGCCCCGCCCAAATGGGACACCTCCCAGCTACCGGCGGACGGGAACGGACTTTCGCTCCTACTTCGGCCTAGCTACAGGAGGATCACGCGCAGCTTCGCCTCGCCCGCACGCGCGACACGAACACGAAACCGAAACCGATTTCCCGGTGGGGGGTCTCCGTTTCACTGCGATCTCACCCCCCAACCTCCGACATACATTCATACAGATCCTCCTGAATGCACATGGCGGATCTGCGAACTACGGCCACGACAGCGCCATGATCCCACAGTCGTAGACCGATGAAAGTACAAACGAGAAAACAAAGGGGTGGCAGAGCCGAGGGGCAGAGAAGACAAGGGGAGGGCGAGAATGGAAATGGTTTATCCTGATTCATCCGAATATTTTATACACCCTCGCCTCGGGCGACCCACGTGAATGCGGCCTGATGACCATTGTGCCAGTGGCGCATAGCAAAAGAGCTGCATGCCCAGAAGAAGAAACACTGACATGGCCCAGCGGACAGTGACGAATGGTATTACCGATCGATGGTGATTCCTGGTTGCCAGTGGCAGGCGAAGTATGGCTACCGACAGCGCTCAATAATGTTGCTGAGAAAAGAATCGGTTGTTCCAGCGGCCTTCTTCTCGTAGCAGTCCTCACAGAGGTCGTACTCTGGACACACAGAGCACCTCAAATATAGAAAGACAGCAGCGGGCGGGGAGGGGGACAACTCATGCGCAGAAACCAACTACGGACGCTTTGCTCTGCAGCATATGTCTGTCGAGCAGGAGATAGGCACTGACTACCAGTATGAAAAAAACAGCGGTTAATGAGGCTGTAGAAGGGGGGGGGGGGGGGAAAGGCGACATTGCTCTCAACATTGGTCCGTGTCTCAAAACTTGTTGCTTGTATCGCCTGTTCGTGTGATTCTATCGTTCGTGCATGCATTCTTTCTTGCTTTCACACAACACATCATTTCTTCTGCTCGGCTTTAATGGCTGTTTACGTTCGGATGTTGTTGTTTCGATCATAGCAAGCTCCTCGGTTTGGGTTGCGCTTGCGGTTGACACTTACAAAAAGTACGAGTGCGCAAAAAGGCTCGTTCCCCGGACCTGGCGCCCTGAGTCAGAAGCTCAGGGTGCTCGGGAGGAGGAGGAAGGACAACGAGGCGAGAAGGAGGAGGGATCCACATGTCTACTGCCAGCGGCGCAATGACGCACCTGTCTTGGCTGCCGTCCATGCTCTCCTACCCTCTTCATGGTCTTTACGATTTAATCCTGCACGTGTGATACATCATTAACTGACATTGCACTCGACTCTCTCTGATTATCCTCGTCCTGTCCTGCCATTTCTTTGTTCCATGCTTTTCCCCGGACAGGTGTCTGGCGGTCAACTCCGAGCACCGCGGGCTCCCCTGGAGGAGGCAGCGGATGCCCCTGAAAGGAGAGATACTTCATGGCGGAGACTTCCAGGGTCTTCTCCCGCTGGATGCCCATCCATTACAGCTGATCTGTTCCGACTCCTGCTCCGGATTGTTTCCAGCGCGACATTCATCTACATGTCATTGACAATGGCGAAGGCCCCACTGCCAGCGGCGAGCGGGCTGCAATGAGCGCTCTGGCAACTCACCGGCCTCGGGAAATTGCACTGCGAGCAATGCTGCGAAACCTCATCGAGTGCTCAGTCAGGCAAGAATTCTCTAGCTGCTGAACCTGTCTTGAGCTACGTTCGGATAATGACCCTGGTCCAAAATTCTTCTCAAATGAACATTGATCATCACCGACAACAGTATATACGAACTCTTCATTCAACCATTCCAATTCCTGTCCCTCTGTTAGGTTGGTCCCCTTCTCAACTAGATCACCGATTTCGATGTTGACCTCTCGGATTCCCCTGGCACTTGGCGTAAACTTCTATCCGAAGTTCGCGACGTTGTACTTCGTTCCTGGAGCCTTCTTTAACGCAGCCTGGATGGATGCTCCCAGCAGCCCACACTCACACGCAACGTCAATGACACAACATTTCACGATTACAAGGGAAACGGCGAACCTCCTGGTCAACATCGCTCCCACAAGGATCCACTGAGGGGATCAAGCTGGACATCCCCCAGTGCGAATTTTTGTTTGCGCGCGCTGGGCAACATCCTCGGCCAACGGGTTCCTGAGAGCACCTGCCAGCATGGTAATTTCCTACTCCCACGGGCTGTACACCAACTGCTGTGAGGCCTAGCTCTAGACTGCTCCCTGTGTGACCCCTGACCCTGAACTGAGCCAGGCACTTGAACCGGTCCCCCTTGATGGGAGTCACATGGCACCTGCCGCAAGTGATGCCATGGTGGACCTCTCGGGGAGACAAACAATTACTGGAGATAATAAGGATTCTTCATAGACCACTCTCCCAAGTTCGATTTGAATTTTCATTGCAATTGCATTAACAAGTCGATGTGCATTTCGACTTGCATTTCGGTTGCGAATTGCCTTCCGTTTTTCATGTCGAGTGCCTTCAGATATACAGTCCGTATTGCGTTTCGATCTGCGGTTCGATGTGCATGGCAATTTGATGTATATATGTGCACTTTCGATGTGGATTTCGATTAGCGCTTTGATGCGCATTTCGGTTTTTGCGTTTCGACATGCAGTCCGATACATGTCGATTTGGCGTCGATGTTGATTGTGCTCTTGATTTCGCTGTGTAATTCGACATGCTGTTCGATGTGCATGTCCAAGTACATGTCGAGGTGCATGTTGACTTCCATTCCGAAATGAAGTTTCGATGTGGATGTCGACTTGCCTTCAGAACTCAATGTTCGACGTGCGATCGAATTCCGTATTCCGAGATGCACTTCGAATTGCAATTCGATGAATTGCAATGGCATCTGCATTCTGACCTGAAATTCGATACGCCTTTTCGATTTGCATTCCGACATGCAATCCGGTATGATCAGAGTGAGGGGGCTGAACCGAACGGTCATTCACTGTCCCTGGGTGCGTGGCTGAAGTGAAAGTCCGCGATGTGGATTCTTGTTGTTGTTGGTGGTGGTGTTGGTGTTGTTGTTGTTGTTGTTGTTGTTGTTGTTGTTGTTGTTGTTGTTTGTTGTTTGTTGATTGTTTATTGTTGTTTGTTGTTTGTTGTTTGTTGTTTGATGTTTGTTGTTTGTTGTTTGTTGTTTGTTGTTTGTTGTTTGTTTTGTTGTTTGTTGTTGTCGTCGTCCCACCCGCGACCCGCCCTGCGACCCACCCGCGACCCACCCCGAGACCCACCCGCGACCCACCCGCGACCCACCCCGCGACCCACCCGCGACCCGGCACGCGACCCACCCGCGACCCACCCGCGACCCACCCGCGACCCACCCCGCGACCCGCCCGCGACCCACCCCAAGACCCCCCCAGCGACCCACCCGTGACCCACCGGCGACCCACCCGCGACCCACCCGCGACCCACCCCGCGACCCACCCGCGACCCACCCGCGCGACCACCCGCGACCCACCCGCAACCCCCCCAGCGACCCACCCAAAATTTTCGGTGCCCGCGGCGGGTTTCTTTTGCATTCGTTCCAGGTCGTTCCGTATTTGGAGAACCTGCGACCCACCCGCGACCCAAACCGCGTTCAGTGTACAAATCAAAAGTTTCGGCGCCTGCGGCGGGCTGTTTTTGAATTCCTTCCAGGTGGAGGTGGAGAGCCCGCGACCCACCCGCGACCCAAACTACGTTCACTGAACAAGCCAAAACTTCGGCGCCTCCGGCGGGATTCTTTTGCATCGGCGACCCACCCGCGACCCACCAGCGACCCACCCCGAGACCCACCCGCGACCCACCCCGCGACCCACCCGCGACCCACCCGCGACCCACCCGCGACCCACCGCGACCCACCCGCGACCCACCCGCGACCCACCCCGCGACCCACCCAAAATTTTCGGCGCCATTCGTTCTAGGCCTCTTTTGCATTCGCCCGCGCCCGCCCCCCCACTCTTATCCGCAATTGCGGGGTGCTACGTGTTGGATACGCACGTCAATGGCCAATTCGCCTTGCATGTAGATGTGCCACTCGTGTTGCCCTTCGGAATTCATGTCGTTTGCAATTGGACTTGGATTTCGATGTCCCCCCACCATGGAACGACCACAGAAGCAACCGCGGGACCACCCGCGGAAAACACAGGACAATCCACGGTACAACCCATGGGACAACCCAAGTGACAGTCACGGGCACGGGGCAACCCACGAGACAATCCGCGCGACAACCATGGGACAACCCATGGGCAAATCCAGAGCAGCCGCAAGACAAACCTACGGGACAACACGGGACAACCCACGGGAAAATACATGGGTCAACCACGGGACAATCACGAGACAACCCAAGGAACAAACACAAGACAATCCACGTGACAACCACGGGGCACCCCACGGGAAAATCCACAAGACAATCACGGGACAGCCACGGGACAACCCACAGGACAACCACGGCAAAACCACGGGACGAATGACGAGAAAATCACGGGACAAAGCAACGGTGCAACGACGAGACAACTCAGGCTTGTCCTGGACCCACGAGACGAAGATGAATACTTGCTGCCTGTGTCTGCCCTAAACTCAGCCGACGCATCTTCGCCCCCGCGCAGCCTCGCCTCGTCTGCACGCACGACACGAACCGAAACCAAACCCGATTTCCTGGATGGGGCCACTTCATCCGCAACCCAGCGAAATGCAATCTAAACAAACAAGGGAGCGAAGACAAGAAAGCACCAGAAGAAACTCCAGCGAAGGTCTAGTAAAAGGTGGGGGAGCTGGCAAGGAGGGACAGACGGGCGGAGGTGAGTCGGCGCAACAAAGGGGCCAGCAAATGTGACGATGCAAAGCGAGACGGCCGAGGGATACAAGCAGGGGAGACCCGACAAGAGAAGAGGGCAAAGACGGGACGAGAGTGAGGTGAGTGGTAGCAGGGAGTGGAGCAAAACAAATGCCTGTGGTGGCAACTGCGGGATCACGAGAACTGTCGACAACGGCTTCGAATTGTGGTGTGGCCCAGGAGAATGATTGAATCGTTACACGATGTGTGGCCCAGCGTCTGCAGCAAGGGAGAGGGCCCCAAATGGAGCGCACTGTGCCGGGACGAGCGTGGCGCAGCCCATCACCCCTCTTCGCAAGCGGCTGCAACCACCCCCTGTTAACAAATCAGGTGGTGCCTGGCTGCGGCCTACCCTCGCAGCTACCAGTTTCTCCTGTGTGGGATGTGGCCTGGCTGCTCGAGCGAGGCTCTGCGTTGCTGCAAGTTGTGCATTCCAGGGTAGTCGACCAGCGGCACGTCGCATCGCACTGTAGCACTAGAACGTAGCACACATAAATAGCCATTGCTTGACAAGCTCCGCTGCGTCGGGGTCGAGAAGCGAAGTTGGCCTGCCCCAGAAACGATCAATCGCAATGCTTACTAATCATGCTTCTTCCGCGGACTGCAGAGTGGATCCCCCCAGATCCTCACGTCTTGCGGCGCCGCGCCACGCCACCGTGCCACCCCCCGCCCCGCAAGGCCTCATCCTCGTCCGCTGGCGGCGTTGCCGGCGCCGCCGCCGCAGCCGGCGGCGGGTGGCGGCTCTGCTGCCGGCTCGGGCTGCGGCGGGTGGCAGGCTCTGCTGCGGCAAGTGGCGGCTCAATCTCGTCGATCGTCACCACGTCGCCACGGTCACGGCCACGGTCTCGGCTGCGCGACCTCCGCGCCGCGGTCGCAGGCCCTGAGAGCATCGCTTCAGAGGTAGCAACACAACCGCACCAAACAATCCGCGGGAGTTTCTTTTGCTATACCCCAGGGCTGACGAAGAGGCCTCCCTCGTGCCCCTCGGCAAGTACACCATGTGAATACCACCATCGTCTCCCCTGACTTTCTGTGCTGCCTCCCACCTGCCCCGCATACGGTCTTTTGAACACCCGGTTATCCCAGGTTGGTGTTCAGTCTTGTCTCATGGGAACGTACTCGGCCTTTCACTTGCAACACTCCCGCGGCAGCGCTTGTCACATATGAAAACAAGATCCAGCGAGCCTCCGTCTAACGTCACGTCGCTCTCGCCGTAGCCGTATTCTCGCATCAGTGATTCAGAATGTCGCTCCCGCTGCAGGATCACCCACATGTTAGTTCAAGGTCCTGTATGTTTTCGCTCAAGGAAACGACGCTCGCGTCGCAGCTGTGACCACATGCCTGCCGTACTCCAACGCTCCTGCGTTTTAACATTATCCTGGCGAAGGACCCAACAATATGAAACTGTGGGTGCCGCAATTGTGAATATCTTCTTCGGTGAAGCTCCCTATGGGGCCACGAAGCGCTGCGCTGGGCAGGGGGGGAACGCATGCGGGCGGTAGCACTGGGGCCGTCGGTGAAGCTCCCTATGAGGCCACGAAACGCTGCACTGGGTGGGTGAAAATATCAAATTCGGCGTGTGGGACGCATGCGGGCGGTCCATTGGGGGCTTCGGTGGAGCCCCCCATGGGGCCGCAAAGCGTTGTAAAGGGTGGGTGGAAAATGCCAAATTGGGTGTGGAGGACGCATGCTGGCGGCCCCACTGGAGGCTTCGGTGGGGCTCCCTATGGGGCCACGAAGCGCTGCACTGGGTCTGTGAAAATGCCATATTGGGTGTGGGGGACGCACGCGGGCGGTCCCACTGGGGGCTTCGGTGGAGCTCCCTGTGGGGGACGCATGCGGGCGGTTCTACTGGGGGCTTCGGTGGAGCTCCCTATGGGGCCACGGCGCGCTGTAGTGGGCGGGTGAAAATGCCAAATTGGGCATGGTGGACGCACGCGGGCGGTCCCACTGTGGGCTTCGGTGGAGTTCCCTATGGGGCCGCGGAGCGCTGTACTGGGTGGGTGACAGTGCCAAATCGGGTGCGGGGGGCGCATGCGGACGGTCCCACTGGGTGCTTCGGTGAGGCTCCCTATGTGACCACGAAGCGCTGTACTGGGTTTGTGAAAATGCCAAATTGGGCGTGGGGGACGCATGCGGGCGGTCCCACTGAGGGTTTCGGTGGGGCTCCCTGTTGGGCCACGAAGCGCTGTGCTGGGTGGTTGGCAATGCCAAATTGGATGTGGGGGGCGCATGTGGGCGGTACCACTGGGGGCTTCGGTGGAGCTCTCCATGGGGTCACGAAGCGCTGTACTGGGTGGGCGAAAATGCCAAATTGGGCGTGGGGGACGCATGCGGGCGGTCCCTCTGGGGGCTTCGGTGGAGCTCCCTATGAGGCCACGAAGCGCTGTACTGGGTGTGTGAAAATGCGAAATTGGGCGTGGGGGACGCATGTGGGCGGTACCATTGGGGGCTTCGGTGGAGCTCCCTATGGGGCCACGAAGCGCTGTACTGGGCGGGTGGCAATGACAAATTGGGTGTGGCGGACGCATGCGGGCGGTTCTACGGGGGGCTTCGGTGGAGCTCCCTATGGGGCCACGAAACGACGTGCTGAGTGAGTGCAAATGTCAAATTGGGTATGGGGGACGCATGCGGGCGGTCCCACTGGGGGCTTCGGTGAAGCCCCCATTATGGGGCCACGAAACGCTGTGCTGGGTGGGTGTCAATGCCAAGCTGGGTGTGGGGGAGGGCGGGCGGTCCCAGTGGGGGTTTCGGTGGGTCTCCCGATTGGGCCTCGAAGCGCTGTGCTGGGTGGGTGACAATGCCAAGTTGGGGGTGGGGGGCGCATGTGGGCGATACCACTGGGGCTTCGGTGGAGCTCGCTATGGGGTCACGAAGCGCTGTACTGGGTGAGTGAAAATGCCAAATTGGGCGTGGGGGACGCATGCGGGCGGTCCCATTGGGGGCTTCGGTGGAGCTCCTCACGGGGCCACGAAACGCTGTACTGCGTGTGGGGGTCGCATGCGGGCGGTCTCACTGGGGGCTTCGGTGGAGCTCCCCATGGGGCCGCGAAGCGTGTGAGGGATGTGCCGAAATAGGTCTGGGGGACGCATGCGGGCGGTGGAGAGGATGAGGGGGAGGAGGAGAAGAGGACATGAACGCGGGGACCGTCTCTTCAAAACGAGGGCCCAACACCACAGGATGATTGGGAAAACATCTCTGAGGTTCCAAAGGGTTCTAGGGAGACCTCCTCCTTCTCATGCTGCTGCTGCCACCTCCCCTCCTCCTCCTCCTCCTGCTGCGGCCCTGCCGTTCCCACCTTGCTCGAGGCCTTCCGTGGCTGCCCGAGGCTATTGGAGCCCATCGTGGCTGCCCGAAGCTGTGCGTGGCCACCTGGACGCTGAAAAGCAACAAGTGTGCGTGCTGAGGAAGCCGCCCCCAACGGGGTCCAACTAACGCTTGCTTTTCCGGGCACCTCACCCCCAAACGTTTGCGATCTGGGGGGAATGCGCGCCGTCCACCCTTCGCCCCGAGCGTGAGAAGGGGCGCAGAGAGGGGAGCGGAGGGAAGGTGGCGGAGGGCGGAGATGAACGCTGGCAGAGGACAGAGCGGGACTGCGAGGCTGCAGTGGCAGGAGCAGAAGCAACAGAAGCGGGATGGGGGAGGAGACAGAGGGGAGGACTGCGGACAGAGGGTGACAAGGGCGGGAGGGTTGACGAGAGGATGGCGAGAAGGTGGAGGGAAATTGCAAATGACGCCACGCCACCTCCACCCCTGGAGACCGCTCGCGCCGCTTCCTGTCGCGATCGCGGTCTGTGTCCTTCTCCTTCTCGCGGTCGCCGTCCTTCAGGGGGGGAGGGGGAGGGGCGGCAGATCTCCTTAGGGGGATGGGCGGCGGATCTCCTTGAATGGGTCGTAGATCTCCTGGGGGGGGCGGTCTTGCTTCAATGCGTATGCGTGCCAGGGTCAGGCACGCCTTCACATGCTTCTCACCCTGCCCATCTCGCCTCATACTCCTTCACAAGCCATGGTTTTTCGTCGGGATTGTTGACGCTGAGTTCGCCCTTCAACTGTCGCCGTCGCAGCTAAGCAATGAGGCAGACCTATGTGACATAATTACTGTCTCCCGTCCGATGGAATGCATGACGTTGAGTTGCGCCTCACCGTGGGGAGATGCGCATTGCAGGCCACATGGCAAACCGAAGACGAGTCTCTCGGCTAAGCTGAGGCCTGGCCGGCGAGGTCCTCAAGATCGTTATCTTTGTCCTTTCCTTTGTGCTTCACTTTGGCCTCGAGGACTCCGCACTCCATCTCTCTCTCTCTCAGTCTTTCTGTCTTTCTCTCTCTCTCTGTCTGTCTGTCTGTCTGTCTGTCTCTTTCTCTCTCTCTCTCTCTCTCTCTCTGGGCATGCCAATCGTTCTCGCCCCCCCTGCTCCTCCCTCTCCCCCTCCCCCTCCCCCTCTTCTTCCTCCTCCTCCTCCTCCTCCTCGTCCTCCTTCCTCCCTCCTCCGTCCTCCCTCCTGCATCCTCCTCCCTCCTCCTCCTCCCTCCTCCTCCTCCTCCTCCTCCTCCTTCTTCCTCCCTACCGTCTTGCACTGGCAGTTTGTTGAACGGCTGAGGCCGCTGGCCGAGTCCTCGCCTCCCGTGGCGCAACACGCAGCGGGGAGGGGGGGGCGAGAGAGGCGCAGCACGGAGGGAAGATGATGAGAATTACGTAGCCCCCGCGGCAGAGGCCAATGAAACTCAGGCGGCCAGGGCACGGCAGCCAGTGTGGCGCGTCGAGCTCCGGAGTCCCAGGGCTGCTGGCGGGGCTCAGCCTCAGGCCGAACGTACTGGCTGCCGCGGGTTTGCGTGCTGCTTAAAGCTTCTCACACCCTGTCGATCCACCACCATCGGGAGCCCTCCAAGCTGTCAGCTGCAGCGGGGAGGACTACAACCCCTTGGATTGAAAAATGCGGACCGCAAAGTTCGCGCAAAAGGGTTCGCAACGTCCCCGCTATGCCTGGGGGCCCCAAATCAATGTTGCAGAGACCCGCCAGGGCGATTTTCCGGTGCTCCCATGCACCCTTTTAATGTTGTGATGGGGAGAGAACCGGAGAATCGCGATTCCGCCCAATACTTCCTCTTAAATGCTCTCCAGTGCCTCCCCGACCAACCAGGGAATTAATGCAATCGGAGAACCGCAAGTCCGCCTAGGACTTCCTCACAGAAAATTATATGGTCCCATTTCCGGCCACCAGAGAGAAGCGATTTCGCATAGTTCCTCGCAACCATGCTTGTGGACGGTACAGATGCCGCCAAAACACGCTGATTTCGCCTGGGACTCCCTCACAACCACATTATTTGCCGCATCGCACGTTGCCAAAGATGTTCGATCTCGCGCGAGACTTCCTCCGCGTTCAACTCGCGCCAGCACCGACGTGTCGACGCAAAGGGTTTCATCACAAGCCAGATTCCAGAGCTGTCGCTCCTGCGAGCACGTCCGAGCTAGGCCCCAAGCGGTGATCGTCTATTATGTTTGCGGGGTCGCTTGGGAGCCATCTTGGGGCCACCTGGCAATCACTTGCGGGTCATGCACTCCACAAGGGGTCGGCGGTGCGTTCTCTGGGCCAAGACCGATCGAGGAGCGAGGATTCAGGGACGTTCGAAGGTCAAGGATACAAGATCGAGGGTCCATTGAAGATCGAAGAGCAGATTCTTCGATCTTGAACGGACCCCAGATCCTGGATCGGTCCAGGGTTCGGCAATCGAGGTTCCAAGGTCGGGGGTCCAGGGCCGTTCGAAGATGGAGAATGGACGATCGAGGGTCGATGAGTGATCGAAGATCGAGGATCCAGGATCTGACGTGGTTCTTGGACTTGCGATCGAAAATGGACCATCAATCGTTCATCGGCTCTGGATTCCGCGGCCTTGGGTTGTCGATCGGTCCTGGACCTGTGGTCTTCGATCGGCTCTGGATCCTCGATCTTGGATCCTCGATCTTACACCGTCGATTCCGGTTCGACCCCGAATCTTTGATCTTCGATCGGCCCCTGGATCCCGGAACATCGGTTTTCGCTCAATCCTCGATCCTCGGACTGCGGCCCTGGGCCCTCGATCCTCGATCGCGATCCTGGTGCCTCGATCGCGTTCAGAACATTAGGACGACGGTGGATGATTGATCTTCGACCGGCCCTGGATGCAGAATTCTCGGCCTGCGGTCGATTTGGGATATTTTGTTCGCGATCGTTCCTGCGTCCTCGATTCCTGGTGGATTTCGGCTCTTCCATCTTCAATCGAGCCTCGAGCCTGTATGATCCAGGAGCCGCAATCTGCGATTGATCCTGGGCCCTCAGGGTCGTTCGACAATGGAGGATCGAGGATCGAGGGAGGGTCGGAGTTCCAGGATCGAGGATCGAGGATCGATCGACGGTCGAAGTTCCAAGGCCGACCGAACAATTATTCAGGGGGCGATTGTGTCCTGAAGCACTGATCCGCATTCTGAAGTCCAGGGGGGTGGCAGTTGGAGCCAGATGCCAGGACACGACATGCGACTGTCAGGTAGCGAGGCGCGCGAGAGAAAAGTCGCATGGCCTTTGCTGGCTATTCGATAAGTCCACAAGGAGGCGTCTGATGGCTCCCGCCACCGGTGGCCCTGGTTGCTCTTGCCCTGGGTTCCCTCTGGCCAACTGGAAGATGCTCATGCGGTGCATTTAAAGAGTGTTGGCCTCGGGCTGCTCCCAAGGCATCCCGTCGAGGAACAGGCCCGAAATGTCGGAGCCACCGAAATCGAGCGCGCCAGCGATGGCTTGCAATAGGCTGTTGCCGGCGAGGCGCCCTCCAGGCTGCTGGTGATCGTGGACATCGAATGAAGCTAGGCCGAAGAGAATGCTCTCTCAACTACCCCGCCACTGATGGCACTGTGTGTTAGAAAACTCGGCAGCCCTGTGGGCTACGAGCTGTCTGGAAGAGCAGCCTGTGAGCACAGATCGTGAGGCCTGGAGCAACCTGCTGCGATGTAGAAGCGGCAACGGTCCATTGAATGTAACACTCTCCCGCCGCGTAAGCATCGGCGTGAGGGTGTTGGCATAAGGACTTGGGCGACGCTTCTGAGAGCCTCGGCGTCCCTCCGAGGGTGGTTCAGCATGCCTGGCCTCCACCACCTATTTACGTGTAACGATCGGGAATAAAGTCGGCGGCCATGGACGGTGGCGCGGAACTCGCTGTCGAACTGCGGCAATGTTGATCACCGGACATCTGATCTCCTGGCTGCCTACGGCTTGTCCTTGCCTTGCCCCTTCTCGAACAGTAACTGAACAAACCTTTGAATCAGATTTGGCACCTAGTGCACATTTGTCTTGAGCGGCGTGCAAAGCCTTGCACGGCGTGTCCAATAATGTGTTGGTTTGTTGGCTGGACCGTTGGAAGTTTGCATACAACTTATTCGTCCATGTGTTACCGAGCTATGCACCGTACATGGGCTTGCTCGGTGCGGATAAGCTATGCGGAACGACTCGCCACACTGTGATGCGGTCAGAGCGTACCAAGGAGCTTGACATGCGTGCGTGCTCACGATCGCTGGGTGGAAAACTGCTATTATTGAATGGCTTCCGCGTTGCACGTGCATGCAACATCGTGATGGTCATCGTGGTTGCTGGAAAGGCGAATCAACGACTCATTCGACTTGCCGTTGCGGTGGTGTAGTCGGGCTGATCCGTGTCAGAGAGGAAGCGGGATGAGCAATAACCATCGGAGCATCAAGTCGAGTCAGTCGGACATGCGCTGATTGCGGAGAAGAGACAGCGAGAACCTTCTTCTATCTTAGTGAAAACCTTCTTAGCGCAGACAGCTGAACGGAAGTACCCTGTTAGTTAGTGTTCTGCTGAATGTGTTTGAGCTGCGCAGTCCAGAAAGATAGTTGAAGCTAAGGTGATGGGGCTGGTGCATGCTTGACTCATGATTACCGATGCGACCACACTTTGGATGATGAGGAGGTTGGGTATGAGTGGGTGCAACGTTCGGTTTGCGACTGGCGTCGGAACTGATGTGCGATCTACCTAGCGATCTCGATGTCTACCCCAATGCAAACGCAACGCGGGACAACCAATAGACAACCACGAGACGACCACAAAACCACCACGGGACAACCACGAGGCATCTGGAGGACGACAGCAAAGGGCCAAACACAAGACAATCGCTGGGCGACAACTGGACAACCACGGGACAACCGCGGGGCAACCACGAGACAACCACAGAACACCATCGGGACAACCGCATGACGCAAGAGAACCGCTGTACACCAACGGGGCAACAACGGGCCAACCACGGGGCAACCACCAGACAACCACGGGACAACTGCTGGATAACCACTGGGCAACCACGGGATACCACAGAACAGCCACGGGCAAAACATGGGACAACCAAGGGGCAACCCGACCCTCAAGGCCCGCCGACGGGGAGCAACAAATAATGGCACCATCCCCTGACAAGGTCGGATGCGTCTCCCCCTTCCTTCGTGCAGCTTGGCCTCGCGCGCACACTTGTCAAACACGACACGGAGTTAAATAGAAACAGATATCCCTGTTCACTGTTGGGGGCTCTGATCCACCTCGATCTCAGCCCCGAACCACTGATTGACGGCCTTATTCGGTGATGCCTTAATCGGCAGAGGGGTGAATCTTCGCAACCGGTTGGGTCGATCTCCCTTCGAGCTAGTACTCGATTCTGGGCCCGATGAGGTTGCTCCCCTCGGTGACAGGCCTCTTCCGCGTTACGTACCTGACGACGACAAACTTTTCGCGATGTGTCACCTTCTCCGCGGCAACGATCACGCTGGAGTGAAACAGTTCAGACATCAGACGCAATATGTTCCAATAATTGCCTAATGTGGTGGCCGCAATATCGATTCAGATATGTACACGGGTCCATGTCCTTGGAGCGGATACCGGATACTCTCCAGACTTTTCTCGTCGCTGGCAACTACTATTTCAAAATACGCGGATAACTTGCACAAATGTCCACCATAAAGCGGCCTCCCAAACCGCCGTCGTTGTGACCCGTCATGCTGCACGAGACTACCATCAGTCTGCATCTGGGGCGCAATCCTGGAATGCCATGTTTGCGAACCTGGCTGATGCAATCGCCGGCATTGGATCGGAAATGAATGAAGCTCCAGTCACAACTTCTAATGGAGCCACCTGTGCCAGAAGAGCGTCGCAGCGGCCGGTGGCCGAGTCCCGGGCAGTCCCCTTCAGCCGCTGGATGCCAGTGCTGATCTCGCGGCACACTCTTCACACGATGCGTGGCCCAAT